TTCGAACCCGGGACCTTCACCTTACAGTGATGTGCGCCGTGTCAACGCCTAAACCGTTCGGCCACCGACGCCCACCTGTAATGTTATTAAATCATGGAAATACTCACTATTTTATCTATTTTTAAATTGGATAAATTATAATACGTGTCATAAATTCGTTACAATCATAGTATAGATTACAGATATAGGAATAACATGTAACCTATGAAAATTTGTACTCGAAAAATTAGAAATTACTGCAAGACAATATGCTATATTAGGAAGCATTAGTGTATTAAAAAGCTTCATGGATCTATTATTAATATTAATTTTTTTTAGTTGATATACAATGGAATGTATCTTGCTACAAGCTTTATCAATAAATGTATTCAAGGTTAAATTTTGATATATTAAAAAGCCTAGAATTTTTATTTCGTTGTTTCAAATTAATATACTCCTAATATCATCAATTTCTGATTTCTACAATTATTATCTTTGTTTACATTTGCAAACTGTTTGTCATGTCCTAATAAAATAGCTTTTTTTTAAAATACCAATTGATAAACCATGATCATCGCTCAATTTTTTAAGTTTTTATGTCGCTATTTAGTTTTAATATGCTTTCATTTATATTTAATAATTGTAATTTACATATATTTTTAAGTTATCGGCATACAAATATAAGAGGCTGTTAGTAATTTCGTAATATATTCTATTTAGATATATGATAAACAATAAAGCCGATAGCATAGACCCTTGAGGAATGCCATGATTGGTGGTCTACGAGAGAGAGAATGAGAGCAAGGGAGAGATGAATATATAGATAAAGAGTGAAAAAGAGCGAGAACGAGTGAGGGGAAAGAACCGTTAGGCAGATAAATAAGAAGATATATAAGAAGAGAGAGTGAGAGTGAAAGAGAGTGCGAGAGGATGCGAGTGCGCATTGTGGGGGAATCGGCATATATTAACGATCCTAGACTCACCTGTTACCCGCTTTGGAATGTTTTGTAATTCTATTTATTTTTTCAATACGTTGGGAGGCTAATTTTTAAACGTCTTTCGTTTTTATACATTACAAGATGTGTTATTGAATTATTTATGCTCAGGCGTTAAAAAAAAATTGTGCCGTGGCTTTATATGGGTAGTGGAATGAGATGTGTGAAGATTAAGGGCGTCATTTGCTACACCAACAAGACATTTTTCATAAAGAAATAATCAGGGTTGTTCTATTTTTACTATTAACGATATGATTTTAATGAAAATTAAGATAAAATTGACTTAAGTAAGTTTGAATTTACAGCTTCATTATTTCAACTAGCTTTTGAAACCTACCAATGTTCGAGAGAAGAAGACAAATTTACCTTTTTTAGTGTCCCCTTTTCTTTAAAAACAAAATCAAGATTTTTTACTGTTTTGCTATAAAATATGTAAAATAATGTTTGTCGTTAGTCAGCAGTTCGCCAGACGTTGAATGTTCGGGACTCGTGTGGATTCCGATCTTAGATTGAAATTGGGGGCCAGGTCCCGGATAAGCGAGCCCTTAGAGACTGTTTTTGTCTAATGAAGCCGGATTCCCACGGGGGCAGCTAATCGTAGAGGCCCATTGTTTACACGGCCTCCCGACTATAATGAGACGCGGCTCTTCAAAGTGACCAATCACCGGCATATCTCTAAATTAGACAAGAACCGTTCCGTCTATCTTCGGTTTGATCCGTACGGTTAATTGAACTCCTACTGACAGTCGACTGTGTACTGTTTCCAATTTGCAGAACGAACAATAATACGATTATGGATTGTGTGGTTAGAGATGTAGAAGGGAGAGATGTTTACTATTTTTCGGAGGATTTTGGATTGGAAAATCTGGATGTGATGATAATTAGAATGATTGGTCGAACCCCACAATTTAATGCCATGCCCAAATGGGTTTAATTATTGTCTCATATATCAGTCGTTTGTTGTGAAGCGTCAGTTTTGATCGTTCGTCTAGGAGTCGTGAGAATGTTTTGCAGTGTCTAGTGAGTATTTACTTGTTTCGTCTTGTATGTAAGACTTTTGCCGATGTACAGCCCAAGGTAGCGGAAGTGGTTAATTGTAGGAAGGGATACGTGATGTAGGTATAGTAGTGGCATTTTTCAACGTCGGAGGCTAAAGGTTATATGTTGGCTTTTATCTAAATTTCATTCTTTCTCAGACCAAGGCTCTAGTTTGATTAGGTGAGCCTAAGGAGCGATGGGCGAGGACGGGATCTTTACTGGAGGATAGGATAGCAGTATCATCCGCAAAAGTGTGAATGGATGTGTCTGGATGGGTAGGGAAGTCAGCAGTATACGTCAAATAAAGGATCGGACCGAGGATAATACCCTGCGGGACTACGGCCATAACAGGATAGTAGTCAGAATAAGACGTACCCTCGCTGACTTGAAAGAAGGGGTCAATCAAGTATAATCGTAATGTGAGGAATAGGTAATATGAAGGATGCTCTTGAGCTGCCACAGCAAACCCGGATGCCAGACCCTATCAAAGGCTTCAGCCACATCAAGGAAAGCACCAAAGCAGTACTGTTTCAGCTCAAGAGAGGAAGAGATAGCGTCTACACGGTGCAGGTGTTTACGTAAGCCAAACTGGTGATATGGAATAATGTTTTGTTCTTCGAAGATGGGAAGGTTTCTTTTCAGAAGGAGCTTCTCGAGGATTTTTCCTAGTATGGGTAGGAGGCTAATCGGACGATAGGATTGAGACTAGGTCTTCATCATCAAACCATTGAATTTTAAATGTGAAATAAAGAAGAAAAGAACAATTCTATATTACAGATTTTACGTAATCACTATGAATCACGAAATTGCTACACCCTCCAGTTGAAGGAGTTCTACCTAGGTGTTTTCCCAGTCATATCATATGTATTGTAGCATGAGGCACCTCTGCGTCATTTATTTTTCTGGTGTTCCACAAGGAAGTGTAATGGCAAGCTGTATATAACCTCTACGCTGCTGGTGTTTCTCCCTGACCTGGACCATGGCTTCGCGCTTGGAGAATCGACTAAACCTTAAACGTCTTAAGTCAATTATGACTCCACCTAGTCAAACTAACAACAATATAGCCGTTCTAAATACCGAAAAAGATTAAATACTGCACTACTTGCTAGTTATATACTACCTATGTTGTATTCAGTTCTTCCAGTGCAAAAATTCCTTACACCTTCGGTGGCGGCAGCGGTATGGCCCCGGGCTTGAATCCAGTGGCCCTGCATTTGAACCGGACATTCTTACAAATGGGATTTTTTTTCAGAAACACCAGCACCCGAGGGTCCTTCGCTGTGCGAACTCTCGTTAAATGTTAATCCTATTAAATGCCTTCTCTATGTCCTTAATCATCAACCTATTAGGATACCATACTTTTATACACAATGTACTTAGGGATTATACGAATTCTTAGTAACTATGACGTCAAATTATAATAAATTGTGATGAATTTCGGCATTGAAGAAGGTTATGATAATGGGTTTATTGCCAAGAAATATGACACAAATGTTGCTACTATAAATAAGATATAAAAGAAAATGTGAACTATTAGTCGTCAGACATGACCGATAAGTGAAATGTTACTGACAACGTTTACCATCCTAACCGACGACTAAAAAAATTCCCTTGAAAGGCATTTTTAATGCATGATTCAACAAAAAAGAAAGAATCTAGAATAAAATGTTTTGGGGAAAAACTGATCACTAAGTGATACATGTTTTAATAAAAGTTCTTTAATCTGGCAACTATCAATATTGAAACATAAAGTCCGATGCTGAAAAGAACAGGTTTGGATCTTTTCTATTCACCGGGCCGACTGTTTTTTGGTCAAATTTGTGCATTTGATCAATTTGACAAGTCGTTAAGTTGTTTAATCCCCCCCCCCCGGTATACAAGGTTCACCTCAACCACAGACCAATATGTAGTCTCTATTTATGTTTTTGGCTGAATTTTTTTTTCTTCGGATATACATCTAACCACTGTGATATGGCAAAAAATCTTACCCGATAAATACCGATTGTCATAAATGATCGATTTTTCGTCACATATCACTTTGTTAAATGTTAAGCTTACAAAATTGATTATTTTTCGTTGTGCAAGCAGAAAAACACAAATGTTTAAACGTTAGGATTTCGTTCGTTCAGCTCATGTTAGAACCTACGTATTGCGATGTTTACCTTTTTCGATTAATCTTAAATGTCTGTGCTACTAGTGGAAGATGTTCTTCTCTGAACTTTGTTTAAAAACTTGCTTAGCCAGTTCGTCATCGATTGATGTTGAAGGCCTTACAAGAGATGGTTTTTAATGATAAATAGAACTGAACTCTCGTCACCGAAAAACTTATAAACGTTTGTATTTAGTGTGTTGTTATTTAGCAACCGGTTGTTCAATAATATTTTTAAGTAGTGAGGAGCGGTCAGGATTGAAATATTTTAGAAAAAACCCTTTTTCATTTTTTAGCCGACGTTTCGACCTTTACTCGAGTCATATTCAGGGCGCTAAGAGTGGTGTCATTTTTGTTTCGTGTAATTCACAAAAATTTCACACAAAACAAACATAATACTACAATAATATCACTGCAGTGTATGCCCTGAAAAATGTCCCGAATAAAGGCCGAAACGTAGGTAACAAAAAGGAAAAAGATGATTTTCTAAAATACTTCACTTCTGACCGCTCTTCACTACCTCAATAAATTATTTATATTTCGATTGGACTGGAGAAAAAAGAAATAGTAAATCGAGTGTTTAATGTTCAAAATTAAAAGAAAAACTGAAACTTGAACTCAACTTGAAAAGAAAAAAAAAACATTATTAAAAATTAGAGATGAACGAGTATTTATCAATAGTAAATATTTTCTTGACAATAGACAGAAAACACTTTAATAATTTTTTAGTGTTATAACAGACATTTCACGTGTCACAATATTTACTCACTTCATATATGATAACCTAACGTTATAGGAAAAATTCCAACTACTAACAATAGTAGATAATTAAGTCTTACAGCACTCACCTGGAGGCTGGGGGCTTGTTTTCGTCCCGGTGAATTTGCTGATTGGGAGGAGGTCGGGCAGCGGCGAAGTAGTTTTCATACTCAAGTCCACCGGCTCCAGCTGCACAGGGGGCCCCGACGCCTACAAATTAAAAAAAAAAGTTATAATTATTTGTATAAAACAAATATGCGTTGAGCATATAGTATTGATAAGCATGTATAAATTTAACAGATATGTCAGACCAGGAGGCAGCGGGGAGAAAAACTAGCCAGTGCTGTAACTCTCTCTTGCGGAAAGAGTTTGGGCTAGAGGGTTAGGGTGGAGGGATAGGATATATCAGATCCTTCAAGAATGTGATTTCAAGGTCTTCTTAGACCATTTGATTGGTGACGTAAAGATATGGCTGAGAACTTAGGATTGAAAAGCTTGAATTCGTTGATTGTGAAGGATTTGATCTAGCCCTACAGGTCGACTCAGAAAGTCCAAATCGGGGTGTTGATTATTTTCGAAGTGGTTAGTTTAGTATGCTTTGTACACTTAGTGCTAATTTTAATCTCAGTAGGTGCCTGACTAGTTCATATTTTTTTAAGTACTTGTCTTTTAAATCTTGTTTGTGAGTTTCTTGAAAGTTTGCTATTTAAGTATAACCCAACGTAGCGGACTTGGACGGTTAGATGGAGAACGCCTTATTGTTTATGTTCACTGGTCTGACGTTTGAGTGTAAAAGTTACTTACTACTACTATATACTTACTACATTTTAAATGGTCATGTACGAAGGATCATAAGGGTTGGTCACATAAAAGAGAATCTAAAAGTAAGTATTTTTCTGATGATTTTGGGTCGAGAAATTTAGATAATTCTTAAAACTAAATAGTATAGCATGGCATTGGAAATAATTTGTTTGTTAGTAAGCGTTATATTTGACCTTTAGTCAAGAAGGGTAAACAGTTCTAGTCTCATAAGTCATTCTTCCGGATTCCATGTTAAGACTCTTATTTAGGTATTTCTAGGTACATCACGTTTATACAGAATATTATTGAATTAGATAAGCTGGTCCGTCGGCAGAGAGTAAAAGATGTACAAAACCTTCGTGGTTCAAATAAAAAAGCTATGGATGGAAAATTTATGTGACGGAAAGACTGAAATGTAGAAACTTGATTCTGCAGAATCAAAAATCTCTTAATTGATCGAAAACATCCGCCACGAATTGTCACGAAGGAGATAGAAGGAGAACCCATCACGAAATTCTAAGAACTTCCACAACCTTGCATCCTTTTGATAACTATCCTAAACAAAACAGACGAATTATTAGAAGCCTTCCTAACATCCCCAAAAGGTACATCCAACAATCTTGAACTATTGTCAAGAGGTAAAAGAAAACAAAAACCTCGAGGCTTTACTTAAACATATCATTTGTACAAACACATGATAGAAAAAAAGAAGCAGAAAAAAATAAGATTTGATTTAAAAGAAAAAGACTCATACCTTCTACAGTACAAGGAATTAATCCGCGTGATTGACTCATGTGCACCATTTGCCGAGTCCTAAATCTCATAGTTATAAACATTTCTCAAAATAAAAGTATTTATTATTATATTATTGTAAATCGGTCGTTTTCTAGTAAGTGATATATTGACAAGTAGGGTTGCGATACTTACTGACTTAATCATGTAAATAGATTGTGGTAGGTTTGTGTCTAAGGTTATCTCGTCTGTTTCCTAGGAAATAATTCTTCTTTGCTGTAGGAATAAGTACATTATTGGAATAGTTGAGAGGGTAGGTAATTTCCTTCTAGACATCATCATGCCTACCTTAATTATCATACAGTCCCAAATGCAAAAAAAAAAAAAAAAAAAAAAACAATGGGGAAGCATGGACGCAAACGTCTCTTCCATTTGACGCAACTGAAAGCTAAGGGTCAAAGTGTATCAATGCAACCTGTCAAGATATTAGTCATTAAAAGGAACTAACATTACCAAAACAAACAACAAAAGATAACGAAGCATGGGAGGAATCGCCAAAGAACTGCAGCCAAGGAAACGACTCTTACTTTCTACAAGGTACATCATTAGGTGTCAAACCTCGTTTGATAGATTAGAAAAAGTATAGATGAGGGAGCAAGTTTAGCACCATTTATTGGATGAAGATGTTGCTGGAAGTTTTTGACGATTATTCTGTCATCAGCAAATGTAAGAATAATTGGGAGAGATCTCCGACGTGAAAAACCAGTAATATGGCCGCCTATCATTTCTGTTTGCTCACCATTTCTGTTTTAGTTTGTCTGATGCACTTGGGCTTTTTTAATTCTCTGATCGATCAGCATTTCTAAGCCGGGATAGTCAAGTTACCGTTGAAGAATTTGGTAAAACGAATCTCGTCAAAACATCGAGAGCAGCCAGATCAAAAGTGATCAGCAACGGCTAATGTAAAGGTAAGAATAATCTCTGGGTGTTTAGGCGTGTCTAATAGACTTTTACAAGAATTATTACTTGTAGTTGTAGTCATAAAATATAATAATAAATGCGTAAAATGGTGACTGTTATTGATTATTATATTGTAAATAATTCATCTCTTCAGGGCCTAATGTGCGAGGGGCTTGAATTTATGAGGTGAGAACCTAACATGTTTTATGAAAATTGCTTTGTCCGCATGTGTGTAAACTCGGGGATTCAGTTTAGTTAAATTTATGAGCAGGAGCCTCGGGCTGTTAGATCCTGCTCGACTTTTTTTTGTCTTTTTTTTTGCCAGACGCGGAAATCACGAGGAGCCCGACCGGGAAACTGGTTTTAATTGAGCGTCTCCCGACGTCTCCCGAAGTTGCCAACTTTCAATTAACGTATCGGGAGAGGAGACCGTGAAAAGTAGAAAAGGGAACACCGACGACCGAAACAAAAAGCTGGATGTTTGCCATTAACTTTCGGTTATTTAATGTTCACCAGGTGGAGCGGCCGTCTTCACGTTTGTCCCTTTAAACTGATCCCTTAAGTGATTTAGGCCTTGTCACGTGGCTTCCTTTTGTTTCGGAGATTAAACGGTTCGCCTCGGGAACGTATATCCGACCTTCTGCCAACTGACAACTCCGTTTTTGTGTAAACTACCTGCAGACCTGGACTAATTTCATCAGTAGAAATATAAAAACAAATAAAACCTTGGCACTCAAAGATCGGTGCACAAGAACTCAAATTGTTCTTTTGACAGCCAATTTTGACAATTATGTACAATCCTGACATATCAACGCTATCAGAATCGCCCGTACGGTGGCGAAAGTGAAAAAAAGAGAAATACGTCGGAAGAGGGTACCCACATTAAGCGACCCCCTGTATTTTGCCAATTAAGTCTATCAGACAATCCACAAACGGCAGCAATCATATGTTGGGAAGGATTTTAGCTGTAAAGCTGCGTGCTTACAAAGGGGAAAAGTACCGTCCGGTTCTCACGTACCTGCACTTTTTCCATTTAAAACACAGTACCTAAAATAAGTTGCATATCTTCATACATTGACTTATATTTGCTAAAATGTTCTTAATCTTAAAAAATTTGTTTTTAGATACAATGGATATAATTGCATGTGTACAATTAATACGACAAAGTAAAATACATATTCCACATGGTAATAAACCATCTGCGGGGTTAAGCAGATTATATAACAAAAATATATACATAAAATGAGTAAGAAAAAGAAAAGAAACCTTAGAAAAAGTGAACAAGTACATAACTGAATCTAGTTCCTCTGGGTTCCAGGTAAGCGAACAACCAATAAGGAGCGACCCCTTAATGTTGAATTAATCATCAAAATCTAAAATATATGAGAAGTAGAAAGTAAGAATACCTAGACCACATAACCACGAAACGCAACATGTCTTCTACATCCCTAGAATCGCATAAGACACATTGTTGTTCATCCATCCGCTCTATCCATGTGTGATTCAAATAAACAAGTTCACCTTGCAATTTAAAAATCTATCTGAACTGAGGCAAAGACAATCTGTTTGAACGCTAGAACGAAAGAAGGCTACTTCACAGGGTGAAAGATGTGGATATAGAGAATAATAGGTAGAACAATACGTAGAAATGGCGGCAATCTTCATTCTTAACTATTCTCGCCTGGCTGAACTTACTCTTGCCAATAAAATAGATAATTGGTCCTTAGGAAAATTATCAAGCGTATAATTATATTTCCGAGAGAGATTTGTCCAACGCCAAACCAAAATGTACTTTTGCTTATATTTCCAACCAGAAGTTTGGCAAACTTGACTCATTGATGAGTTTGTAAAAAATCCAATTTAAGAAAGACATCAGAATTTTATTACCTTTTTCATTTAGACGTTTTGAGTTATGAATGTAGTATTTGATAAAATTCTGCTGTAATATCTATTTCAAAAATTTGTATTTTATATTATTTGCTTGAGATATGACATTACATGTGAACAAAAATTGTTTGGTCACTTAAAAATAATGAAAAAAAGAAGTTATTTCAGATTATGTAATAACTTTGATCATTTTTTTATTATCTAATAAGTGTCTTATCAATTTAGGTGGACATTTGTTACAGTTAACTACTTTTATTTACGCTCATGATTAGCAATGGTTGTGCGAATACACTTTTATGCCCTAAGGATTATAATTACAATTTAAAAAGAAAATTGTTCAAATGGAATCCGATTAAATTTCCCCAAACGCAAACTTGGTTCTCAAAAAGTTCAAAATCTCAATTCAAGTCTCGCGAATAATTTTTTATATCAAGTTGAATTTCATAATAAAAATGCATCCTCGCTATTCTTAAGTGTTTTTGAATAAACTGTCAGCGAAAAAAGGAGATATTTTTCATTTTGCCTGGGGTTCGTCATCGTACCTTATCTATTCGCAAGACGACGATTTAACAAAGGCAAGGGCGTTTCTATGAGAGGACAAAAATGTTAATCGGTATGTGGGTCAAGACAATTGTTGTACGCTCTCGGAGGCGAACAGGAAAATAAAAGGTCCTTGGCGCTCTTGAACACTTGGACGAGGATCCACGGTCTGCTGTTTCAACTGCTTGTTCTAGTTTTCTCGATTTTTCCCCTGCGGCCTTCCGCGGCCTTCTGCAGCTCACTCCTAACTCGTTCGTGGAGATATGCTGTTCACCCTCGTCAGTACACAC